GCATCTAATCTTGGGAAATGCTAAGTGTCTTATAATCAGAAGGAAAAATGAATCACTTCTAAAAGCAAATTGAAAGCAATTATATAATACTGGAGGTAATACGAAATCTACAATTATCGAGTTCATCATTCCCCTCCATGGATACACAATAGAGTTGCAATTAAACAAAACACACACAAAAAAATAAAAAGGTCATTCCTCTGCCATACAAAAAAGCTATCAACTTAATGAAGTAAAAATTTAGATACAATAACATATGATTACTCCTTACAGCAACAAACATTGATGAGCTCAAAATTATAGAAGTGGTTCCCACATAAAGGGTTGGGTCTGGAAACCTTGAAGATTGCCCCAATTATCTGTGATGGGCGTTTGGCAAGTGTTGGTCATAAAAGAATCGGCAAGTGTTGAGGACAAGTCCAGATCCCAATTCCACATAGGCAAGTCATAAGTGACCGGAACTGACTCGTCACCGGCAAACCCTAATGTGAGAGGATCCAGTGGAGCGTAGTCTTGTGCTTCCATAACATCATTAGGAACCACCAAAGATTTAGGTTCGAAATCGGAAACACTTGCTTCCAAACTCGTAGTAGACCCACGAACCACGTAACCTAATTCATCAAAAACGCCACCAAACCCTAATTTAGTATCCAACTTCTGATCTGAAACCTTAAGATGATCTTCCGACACTGATTTCTCCAAATCTGGCTTCAACTTTGGATTTGAGATTCCGACACCGATTTCTCCAGATCGGGCTTCTTTCTGCTTTGAAGAAGCCTTGATGGTCTTTTTCCGAGTTTTTAATATTTTCTGTGTGACTCCAACCAAGTGAGACTCGAGGTCTGAGAGATGAGTCTTCAATTCCTCAACGGACAAACCCTCAAACTGTGGGAAGTCCTTGAGATCGCAGCTATTTTTCTTCCTCTTCAGATCGCTCTGCCCATCAAATTCGGCGACGAGCTTTTGTAGGGTTCGTGGGTTTTCCGGCCAGACATGGAGATTGTCGTTGTCGGGACCGTAACAGATGAAAGCGACAGAGTTTCCGGAGAGAACAGAGAGCTCAATGGCTTTCTTCTTAAACCCAGGAAACCTCTGTTTGAAAAAGCTTGTCTTTTTCCTCTTCTCCAAATCATCATGGGTGGGTTTTTTCTGTCGTGGAGCCATCTTTGGTGGTGGTTGCAGAAATAAGAACGCTTAATTCAATTGAAGGACGAAGAAGATCGTAAGAGAAGCAAGTAGCAAGAGAAACGATGAGACCAGGAAAGTAAGAGGCAAGGGTTTCTTTTCTTTCCCATATATATAGACAGACACACAGGATTGTGTCACTCCTTAACGGTCATATTTCCCGCCAAAGTAAGAGACAAGGGTTTTCCTTTTTTTTTTTGGCATATTTTTTAATATAGTAAACCGATTTACCTAATTGAAAAAGGAAAACCAAAGCATTGGTGAATTATAGAAATTCCTACTCACAACAATTTGGTAGTGAAGTTTC